TCCGTTACAAATTGATGAGTGTCTAATATAAGCCAATAATAAAAATATTTAATAAATACACTTTAAAGAAAAATTTTTTAATATAAATTATTAATTTAGTACTAACTTAGCACTAATGTAAGATAAAAAAATACCACCTTATTGGTATATAAGCAATGAACCCCACCAAAAGCATCTTTCCGTTACAAATTGATGAGTGTCTAATATAAGCCGTGTAAAAATGGTTGATTTACAACCGTACAATGCGTTGAGGTACTGAATTGTGTCTGTTTTTAGTTGAGGGGTTGATTTTCCACGATTCACTAAGTATAAGGGTTGATTTGTCACCATTTATTGAGTATAGGGGCTGATTTGCCTTTTCACCTTTTTTTTTAAAAGATTTGGAGTGTATCAGTTAATTTTGGTATACCAACCAGTACATCCAAATTTGATCAAAACAGATTTTAAACTTATACTATTTTAACTAACTTATTGTTTTGGCTTAATTAAAAGAATAATACTTATTGATCATACCGGTCATACCAACTAATACGAAATAGAATTCACAACAATAGTGAAATCTTTCTCAGTGTGTGGACCGGTAGATGGGAAAAGGGGAAAATGTCGGTGGTTTTGCTATTAACAAGAGATTTGGCATTCTCTTCTGATCGAGTATCTCTAACCCTAATCCAATTCAGCCTTTTTATGAATCCTGATTGAAATTCTTTTCAAAAAGGGATCATTATCTTTGATGTTTAAGTGAGAGAGTCCCACAACTGAAATAATAGAGACAACATGTGTAACTTAAATATAAAATAGTTAATTCATTTATTATTAATTAATTTTTGATTGAATGCTCATCATGTATTAAAGCTCATATGTTTTGAATTATGTTATTTGAGAATTCATATCTCATGTCATGAAGTTATACTTGTATGTCAATGACTTGAGTAGTTCGATAGTTATCTATTTTCGTTGAAAATAAAAGGTTCTGAATTCGAATTACATGACATGCAGCTAGAATAAGATAACAAATGTGAGATAGTTGCTCCCATCATGCAACCAAAATAAAATATATATATATATACACACTTGTATGGGAAGAACTGACATCTCTAGGATCACCGTTTCTTTTTGTATTTGAATTCAATACATGCACTTTATGGCATTAATGGTGTAGATTTCAAAGAAATTAATGTTTTATTTTAGGGTTGTGGAGAGTGTGGGAGAGAATGTTGAAGAGGTAAAGGAAGGAGATACTGTCATTCCGACCTTCATGGCAGATTGT